ACACATTTCCAGTCCTGTCTTGTTACAAAACGTCAAGTGGAGTCCCTTTAAAGACAAATCTAAATAATCTATGTTCTGTCTTATATGTTACAGGTTGCACCAGAAGAGTTTAAGGAAACTGTTTTAACGTATTAACAGTACACTAAAGAAAGCACTACCTGTCAATATAAAGTGGTTATTGTGTGGTTTTGTATATGTTGTTGTTGTACACTAGGCTGCTCTCTCTGGCCGGTTGTCTGCTTAAATAAAAAGGGTGAGACTTTATTTTATTGTAAATCTAGGTTCAATATTCACTTATAACTTTTTTTGTCACTTTAATAAGTCGTCGCCTAATTCTAAAAGTGTCCTATGTCCATTTTTGCAAAATTTGAGATAAATGAACCATTCTTTTTACCTTACATTGCTTTATCTTTAAAGCTTTGGGTTCAAGGTTATGATGACCTAGAAACGGAGTTATCGAGTATGAACTTTGCTCTATGTCCACATTTCGCATGATTGTTTTATCCTTATAGTAGGGTATGTACGTTACTTAGGACAATTTAATAGTGAAACCTGAAATAAGCCAATCAAAACACGAACTGATGGTCAGGTGACCTTGGTCGTTTTCGCAATGATAGTGCGCTAAGTCAAAACTTCCGGTAGAGAATTTTCTTGCCAATATTTTTAGCTCACCTGTGACAAAGTGACAGGGTGAGCTTTTGTGATCGCTTTTCGTCCGTCGTCCGTCCGTAAACTTTTGCTTTAAATGACATCTCCTCATAAACCGCTGAGCCAATTTCATCCAAACTTCACAGGAATGTTCCTTTGGTGGTCACCTTTAAAAATTGTTCAAAGAATTTAATTCCATGCAGAACTCTGGTTGCCATGGCAACTGAAAGAAAAATCTTTAAATATCTTCTTTTAAACAACCCTAAGAGCTAGAGCTTAGATATTTGGCATGAAACATCTTCTAATGAGTGTCTACCAAGTTTGTACAAATAAAAGCCCTTGGGTCAAAATTGGCCCTGCCCCGGGGGGTCATTGATTTTCCCTATTATGCATATTAGTAAAAAACTTAAAAATCTTCTTTTTAAAGAACTGTAAGAAGCTAGAAGGCCCTTTAAAGATATTTGGGCATGGAACATCTTCTAGTGATTGTCCTACCAAGTTTTTGTTCAAAATAAAAGCCCTGGGTCAAAAAATTGGCCCTGCCCCGGGGGTTCCATTTGATTTTTTCCTATATGCATATAGTTGAAAACTTAAAAAATCTTCTTTTAAAAGAACTGTTTTAAGAAGCTAGAACTTAGATACTTTTTTGGCATGGAACATCTTCTAGTGATTGTCTACCCCAAGTTTTGTTCAAAAATAAAAGCCCCTGGGGTCAAAATTGGCCCCGCCCCAAAGGGGGTCATTGATTTTTTTCCCTATATGCCATATAGTCAAACTTAAAAAAAAACTTCAAATTTAATGAACTGTAAGAAGCTAGAGCTTAGATATTTTGCATGAAACCATCTTTCTAGTGAATGTCTACCAAGTTTGTTCAAATTAAAAGCCCAAGGGTCCCAAATTGGCCCCGCCCCAGGGGGTCATTGATTTTCCCTATAAATGCAATATAGTAAAAAACTTTAAAAATCTTTCTTTTAAAGAAACCAAAAAGCGCTAAAAGAGCTTAGATATTTGGCATGAAACATTTTCTAGTGAATGTTCTACCCCAAGTTTTGTTCAAATAAAAGCCCAGGGGTCAAAATTGGCCCCGCCCCAGGGGGTCATTGGGATTTTTTCCCTATAATGCAATATAGTAAAAAACTTAAAAAATCTTCTTTTAAAGAACCCAAAGAGCTAGAGCTAAGATATTTAGCATGAGACATGTTCTAAAATGGGTGTCTACCTTATATGTGTATAGCAAAAACTTAAAAATCTTCTTTGAAAAAAACCCAAATAGCTAGAGTTTTAGATATTATAACATGAAACATCTTTAAGTAAATATCTTACAAAAGTTTTTTTCAAATAAAAGCCCAGGGGTTCAAAACTGGCCCCCTGCCCGAGGGGTGTCATTGTTTTTAAACTATATGTGTATAGTAAAAACTTAAAAATCTTCTTTTAAAAACCTAATGAAGCTAGAAACTTAAAGATGTTTTGCATGAAACAAATCTTCTTATGGGTGGTCTACCAAGTCTGTTCAAATAAACAAATAAAAGCCCTTGGGTAAAAAATTGGGCCGGGGGGGGGGGCTATATACAGGTGAGCGACCTCAGGGCCATCATGGCCCTCTTGTTTAAAGAGTCAATTGATGTCCAGTACACAGAGGCGACAATTCTAAGGACAACAAGGTTATCTTGTAAAGCAGACCTACATCCTTTGCCTAAAATTCTGAAATGTGGAAAGGGTTTGTCTGATGACAAGAAAAAATATATAGAAACCATGCTACGATTTATACCGACAGTGGATGGCATGTTCATGAAAAGTCAAAATATAAACCTTTATTAGTGCAAGTGCTATAGTATTACGCAAACAGACATCATAGAAATTTGATCATGGTATTATTCTATAACACAATATATCAAATACATCTAGACTTGATTAATATTATGTTTGAGAAATTTACTAAATGAGACATTGGAATATATTTTCTTTTTTTGATGTTGTACTTTGGCATCATGTTATTGTTGAATTTATTGTTAAAAACTGCAAGCCACATGAATAGTTGATTTACGTTTAATATTAATGACTACTTCATGGCAGATTTGATGAAGTACCTTGGCAACAGGTTTTCTTACATTGTTAAAGAAAGTAAATAACATTTTAATAATGTTAACCTTAGTCCATTGAAAAAATGTTAGATAATAGAAAATTTCAAATCTTTCATGATTTTTTTTCACGGTATTGACGAGAACGCTGGTTTTAAAATGTTTTTGTTTAATACAGACCATTTTGCATTAATGTCAGTTTGTTATAATTATATTTTTAATACCAGATTTGAGATTTTGCAAAAAGTAAACATTGCTGTATAATGCAAATATAGAGACAATTTTTAAATACCCTTTTTATATGATTGTATAAATATATTTTTTGTCTAATTATTAAGAATAGTTATGTTTCTTTGGGTTACGGCAACTTACAAATTCAATATTTAAATGTTTTTTAAGATATCAATTTTTCTATTTGTTCATGACAAGAAAAGTCATATTTATTAATGTTACAAAAAGTTATGATAAACCAGTTTATAATAATGTTAAACTTGTTGTGACTAAATATCTGGGGACCCAATTTTACATATTAAAGTCTTTTAACAACTTTAGGGTTTGATGCATTAACGTGACGTTTAGGTCGGTTTTTGATTTTTTTGTTTCCCATAACTTATTTAGCAAAGTTTTATACTATTATAGCAAAGAAAACATCCAGTCGTAATTTGGTTGAAAAAAATTATTGTTGAACGGCTTGTAATGATTTACAATAAAATCTAATTGCACATACGGACAAGCAAAATAAAGTGATTTTAAAGGGTTAAAAACAGCCTGTGTATGTAATAATTTCTACCATTAAAGCATCGTATCTCCAGCTCCTTCATTTGATTTTGGTATTACTTTGCTTTATCTTCAATGACGCACTTTTAGAGTGACATTTTTAGAAATATTTTGACCTTTTGCTCTATCTCAAATTTGTTTTTTTTCATATTTTCTCTCAGTCTTTCTCCAGAAAGAAAAATAAACGGCTTGTGTGCATTAAAATCCTAAATATAGATGTGTGAAAAATTTCAATTTAGTGGAGTCACGTGGAAAAAAAAATTAAGATGCAAAATGTTTAAGTCGTTTTTCTTAAAATAGCATTTTGGCAGTTAGTAAGCCGACGAAGTGTAAAAATAGAAGATGTGCAAACTTGTTTTACACTATCCATTATTTTTAAGAAATTTAACACAACTTTTTACATGTTTTTTTCAACAGTTTAAAGTTTTGTTTTGGGCCCCAGAGCTTTTTTTTTAAAGGGGTTAACTTTTTTAAAGCTAGGTTTATTATTTGGTCCCGTTTCCCGGGTTTTTTAAAAATACTGTTTTCTCTAGAAATTAATTTGGATTATATAAATTTCAGAAAAGCTTTTTTAACTACTATTGAACATGAATTTGTTTTTAAGTCGATCAGATCTCTGTGATCTTGCAGCTTTAACCATCTACATCATCTATATATATACAGACACGTAAATAAATATTTTCACATCATTGAATTAAAAAAAAATATTTTACTGTACTGACTCACTGTAATTATTTAAACTTTTTGTTATACAATCATGTGATGTCATATAATGACTCATGTACATGTATGTCTCATTGAAATGTTTTGTGGTTTTTAAATAAAAGCCCTGTCACTTAAGATTTACGAGATTTCGTAAGGTTCTTTTATATCTCTTTTTCTGAACAGGATCTTGAGATATTTTTTGTTCTGTAAATACATGTGTATATAAAGTAGACGCTGTTATAAAAAAACATATATGACAATAATTTGCTAACAAGCAGTATACAGTGTAGTTTGATCCATTCTGAAGCACATGTATTTCTCTCTTTTATAAAAAAAATAGCCCTATACTGTTGCAAGCTTAATTTTTGTTAGTTAATATTGACATCCCTTAAATTTTGTATGAACTGTTCCAAATTTAAAGTTGGGCGAATTCATTAAACAGATAGAGCAGGGCATGAGTTTAATTTTAAACTCTGCTCAATGCACTGAAATATTTGAAACTCACGACAGACCCTGATTACGATCCAGGATCGTAATCAGGGACTGAGATCATAAAGAAATTCTCCAAACTCAACCTCAGATCTCAAATATTTGATTGGTCAGAAACTGCCACAGAATGTACACTGAACAATGAAAATCTTGACATTTGAGAAAAAGAATCAGAAAAAAGTTTTATAACCTCCATGCCAGATTAACAATTTTCTTGAAAATGAACTTGCTTTATAGTTGATATTCTACTAGTATACAGCTCATTTCAGGTGTTGTGCATTAAAGGAAAAAATCAATATGAGGTTTTAAAGAATACAAATAAACCTTGTAAGATAACTGTGTAACATTTTGATAAACAGTTTGTATGTTGTTTTCAGACCAGACATTCTATAGAGAAAGTTTTAGACTGGGAAAATAGTCACCTATACCATAAGGTAGGGAATTTAATTACATGTCTGTATAGATAGTTAATATTGTACTGATTGTATATATAACATCATAAGTCCTGGAGAACATGAGCGTTTACACTTATGTATTAAGTTAATCGTAATAGTCAGTCATTGTTGATTTTTACCTACTGTATAAGACAGTGCTGGTATTTAAAAAAAAAAGAAAACTTACAATTATAAACTATGCTCGACACTAGAACAGATCAGAATAAGAAAAACAGTCTAGAATACAAACACAATATTGTTGAGTTAAAATTAACAGTATTGTTTTTGATTAGTGCATATTACAACATAGAAACACAATAAATATTACATATGATTGTATATTATTAGTCCCCTACCGGTTTAACCGGAGGGGACTTTAGGTTTACCCTCTGTCCGTCTGTCCGTCTGTCTGTCTGTCTGTCCGTCTGTCTGTCCGTCTGTCTGTCTGTCAGTCCGTCAGTCCGTCCGTCCACAAAACTGGATCCCGCGATAACGCAAAAAGTACTGAAAATATTTTTATGAAACTTGATATATGGATAGATGGCAGTATGGAGATTATGCACGTCTTTTTTTTTTTCTTCCTATGTTGAAAATTCTGGTTGCTATGGCAACAAATAGTCTGAAAATATGGCAAATTTAACACATAAACTGGATCCAGTGATAACTCAAAAAGTACTGAAAATATTTTTATGAAACTTGAAATATGGGTAGATGGCAGTCTGGAGATTATGCACATCTTTTTCTTTTCTTCCTATGTTGAAAATTCTGGTTGCTATGGCAACAAATAGCCTGAATTTCAAGATTTCTGATTTAAATTTTTCAGCTTTTTCACTATATGTTCTTTATTTCTTAAGGTGTTTACTTCAAACTTTAAATTTAAGTTTCTGGTCATCAACCACATCATATGTGACAAGGTTTATAACTCTAGCACAAAAAATATCAGTATTACCTCCCTTGAACTTAGATTTTTTAGGGGAAAAAATGTTGTCTTTTTTAAATAACTTCTTTATTTCCTAATGTATCTACTTCAAACTTCATATATATGTTTCTTATTATCACTCGACATTTTTGAGAAGGTTAAATACTCTAGCAAGACTATTTCCAGAATTATGTCCCCCTTTAACTTAGATTTTTTTAAATATTAACAAATAGTCTGAAATATGGCAAATTTAACACATAAACTGGATCCAGTGATAACTCAAAAAGTACTGAAAATATTTTTATGAAACTTGAAATATGGGTAGATGGCAGTCTGGAGATTATGCACATCTTTTTCTTTTCTTCCTATGTTGAAAATTCTGGTTGCTATGGCAACAAATAGCCTGAATTTCAAGATTTCTGATTTAAATTTTTCAGCTTTTTCACTATATGTTCTTTATTTCTTAAGGTGTTTACTTCAAACTTTAAATTTAAGTTTCTGGTCATCAACCACATCATATGTGACAAGGTTTATAACTCTAGCACAAAAAATATCAGTATTACCTCCCTTGAACTTAGATTTTTTAGGGGAAAAAATGTTGTCTTTTTAAATAACTTCTTTATTTCCTAATGTATCTACTTCAAACTTCATATATATGTTTCTTATTATCACTCGACATTTTTGAGAAGGTTAAATACTCTAGCAAGACTATTTCCAGAATTATGTCCCCCTTTAACTTAGATTTTTTTCGAGAAACTGGTATTTTCACTCCAACTTCTTCATTCCTTATAGGATTTACTTTAAAATCCCACATCGTAATAATATGACAAGGTTGTATAAACATAATTTCCTTACTAAGCATGGAAACTTAACACATTACTGTGATATAGACAAACTTATTTTATTATGTTTTGTGGTTGATATTTTCAAATACAGACTTCATCCTCAAATTCATTATAAATGGCAATACACAGGAGTGTATGACAATTAAAGAACTTTTTGAGGGACCGGTAGGGGACTACTGTATTGCCCGCAATACTATCAAATGCTTGTTGTAATTATAATGATCATTTTAACCCTAAAATTATTGTTTAACAAGAGCTTCAATTGCCAGGCGATGTGAATAAGGTTACGATTAACCATTGAATCACTTTTTAGTTAGTGCTGTAGGTTTAAATCCTACCAGGGATAATGGATTTTTTCATGAAAGGAAGTTTATATCCAGGTCAGGTTAACATTCTTGGAGAAGGTCAGTGGTTCTATTCTGGTGCCCACTTGTGACTGAAATAATGTAGGGAGGTGTGCCTGCGGAATTTCTCCATCAGTTGACTGTAAAATGAAAGTGATAAAATATTTCCATGTAATTTGAAACAATTATTAATCAATAAGATAGTCATTATTTGTATGTTTCACAAGTTTATACTAATTAACTTTTATGGAATGTTGGTGGTTCTACTCAGGTGCCAGTTCATGCCTGAGTTATTGCACGGAAGAGCACCTGAGCTCTTCCTCCACTTGTAAAACTGAAACGTCCTCATATGACCTATACTTCGTTGGTGTAACGTAAAACCCAATCAAACAAACAAACAAAAACTAAATAACTTCTTCTTATTATTGTATATATCTGCAGTTAACACTTAGCATATCGATGGCTCAGCGCAATACTGGTCTAACTGCTATTTTTGAAAATGTTCAGGAGAGACAAAAAACTGATTTTATTCAAAAATACTTATATTAGAAAATATTTTTTTTGCTATGTTAACATTAATTATAATAAGAAATAATGCCATTTATATAAATTTTTATTAAAATATTACAAATTGTGTATTTTAGAGTTAGACCTTTATTGCGCTGAAATTCTGAGCACAATACAAGACTAACTTGAGTTAGACTCAAATTCCCTCTTGCAATTTGGTAAAAGTGGTACAAATATTTGAGTTAGACCTGTTTTATGTTAAATATTCTGATATAAATGAAATTATAAATTTTGAACAAAATTGTTTTGTTAATTTAAACATTGTTTCAAATATTTTGCAAGTCTGTAGAAGAACTTAACAAAGACTAAATTCTTTAATATTTTTCTATTAATATATCATGCGAGCTGACTTTAGATGAAAGTACACTTCTTTCTCCTTTTTCAATTTGTTTGAGATTCAGATTTACTTAAGATCTTTTGCAGATTATCAGTGCAATAAATTTGAATTCTAAACAAAATGCACACAGTTTTGATTCATATAGTGTTATGAACAGTAGTCATGAACAATGATAATTGACGATCCAGGTATATATTAATTATTATGATATCAAACAGGGAATGTACATTTTGTATAACTCACATTTGTACAAAGAAGACACATTTTATTTTTCTCAATGCACACCATTACCACCATTGGTGCTTAAATGTTGTTATTCCGATATTACTGTTATGCGCTAAATCTTAATGAATTTAATGTATGTGGTCCTCTTTTCTGATGATATTATCATTTATAAATATCAAATATTTTCAAAAATGAAAACCGCTGTTAGACCATGCTTTTATTACAACTTTTGTATTTACTTTTCTCAACTGTTTAGAGTATATTTTGAAAGTGTAATGTGCAAATTTTATGACATGTTTTGCTGAAAACTGCATATCTTCAGAAAAGTGTTTCATTTTATATATCAAAGTCATTTTACATCTAAATTTTGACCAAATAACAAGGGGTTGTCAAACATATTTTAGAGAAAAAAGTAGGGCAGTACAACCCACTATCAGGGATTCATATTAGCACATGATGTAATTCAGAATAATTTTTTGTAAAGTTAGATGTGCTTTAAACACTTGCAACCACTTACTCATTCAGATATGAAAGGGCGCACACCTGAAAAGCACCATGTGCACACCTTAGATTAGCACTAAACAATTAGAATGGGTAAATGTTTGAATTTTCTCATTGACACTGATACTATACCAAAAGCAGTTGAAAGTCATTACATTTTTAATTTCATTAAATTTGATAGGTAAAATTAATGACTTTTAGATCTAAAATGAAACATTTTTATCAACTTATAGCTGTTCTGCCACATAAGTTAAAGAGTTTTTGACAATTGCACTCTCGAAAAATTCAATGGAGCTGTTTGATGTAAAAAATTATCAGAATACAAGAACTGAAAAGGTCATTATAATATATAAGTGTGCATATTTTGATTTTTTCTGCACATATCACATCAGGCAGAAAGATATTGTATCAATAATATAAGTATTGTGAAGAGTGTGATTGGCACATGTTGACACTATGTTGTTATTGTTTTGTTTGAGTTGATAGTGTAAAGTTTATATTTCTAACACGACCCGCATTTTTCCCTATTGAACATAGAAGAACTGAAAGTGTGTGTTATTATGCTATAAAATCACTGTTTGACGTTCTATATTTAGACGTTTGACATAATCATTTTACACGTGACGTAACCACTAAAAATGTGACATGTGACGAAACAAACGAAAACAAATCGGGCGCAATTTAGCTAAATATCAGGTACGGCAGCATTTATTCGTTAATGTCGTGTTAGAATCGAAATAATATATCCAAATCGGTGATTTTATTGCTTGATAACATTTAACTGTTTGTCGTTCGAATGCACATCATTATATCACTCGGGCTACGCCCTCGTGATATAATTCCTGGCATCCGAACTCCAAACAGTGATGTTAATGAGCAATAAAATCAGTTTGGGATATATTATTTCTTAAATAACTTTACTTGATTAAAGAGAGTGATACAGAAGTAGATACATAATTTAAAAATAAAAACCCAAGAACGCCCTCAAACCTGAAATTGTTCATTGTGTTACAGGCTAAGTTTGATTTGGCAGTGAAACAATGTACAGTCTACCCCCTTACACCATCTTAAGCAGAACAAATTATATAAATATGAACAAAGTATAAAATTAAGAATTAGGAAATCTCAGCATATGATTAAACAAAGGTCAAACTAAAAAAAAATGAATCTTTAGAGGGGGATCAGAGGTTATGAATCCACTAGTGTAACACGTGATATTTTCCATTTTAAATGTATGCATGAGAAACATACACTGTCTTTTACTAAATTGTACAAAAATGATAGTTTCAACTGCACTTTATGTTATCAAATAATACAGTATGAGTATGATGTAATGACTTCAAAGACAAAATTAATGTTTAATTGTGACACTAAATTATTATTAATTTTTTACAAAATTTTTCGTTTACAGTTACTTGTACATGATATGCAATTGGCTAAAATTTTGCGATTTATACAAAGCACTGATGGAGGCAAATAATTTCTAGTGTTTTCATGAATTCTCACATTCTTTATAACACATTTCAATGGGATATGCATATTATTCTGTACCTGGAAATGAAACATTTAAGGTCTAACTCAAGCATTTTTGAGGAAAATTGATATATTTGACATCGCAATAAGAGACCAACTCAAGTTAGACCTATATTGCACTGACAAAATTGAACTACCTGAGATAGACTTTTATTTTAAATGTAAATAAAAAAGGCAAAAAAAGCATAGATTACCCTAAAATTTTCACAGAATGTGTATTTGACCTTACATTATCAAAATATGTAAAAAAGTGATTTTTGGTAAAAATGTCACTTAGACCAGTATTGCGCTGAGCCATCGATATTAACTAGTTTATATTCTGTGGTTGTATTCCAGCTTGGCCTACATTGGAGGTTATCTAAACAAAGATGTGATAGTAGTAGTATGATGGAATATGTAAGTTATTGTTTAATAAAGTAATGTTATGTGAGATATTAAAACTTCTTTTGTAATGATATAAGATTATTTATATTGTTAATAGATGTGAACTCTCCCTATTTAAGTGGGAGACACCCTCTTTCTCTTGTCAAATTTTTAAATATATTTCTTAGAATTAGGGGTGTTTTAAAAAACTTTGAAAATGAAGACAAGGCTAGACGTAATACAATATGGAATACATGTAATTATAGATTTTTGGACTGGGGGGTGAAGCTAAATTGATATGATTTGATCCATCAGAAATTTCAGTTAGAACAACACATATTGCATTTCATATACTGATGAAGGATTTTTAATGATGACTCAGAAGGTGTGTAAAAACACATTAAAGTTTGTAGTCTTAAACTTAAAATTGTCACATTCTAATAACTATAAAGCAAGAAAGGACCTTATCTAATTAATTTTCTTTTTTAAATCAACTTAGCAAGATGCCTTTAAAGTTAATTATGTATAAATGAAATTATTGTATTTGTTTCAGGTATTAATTGTAGAATATATACCAAAAGTGTCTATATTTCGTCCAGACTGACATCACTATGTGTACTGATAATGGATTATTTTGTCTCAGAAACTGAATTATCAAACAGATGACAGTGATACCTAGATATAAAAATAGAACATGTACAGTGTAGACTGGGGCGGCTAGAATAGAAACACTGGTGCTTTCTTCAACTTTCATACAGTAAACAATGTGTAATCTCACAACTTTCACTTTTATATTTGAGCCGCGTCATGACAAAACCAACATAGTGCATTTGCAACCAGCATGGATCCAGACCAGTCTGCGCATCCGCTCAGTCTGATCAGGATCCATGCTGTTTGCTATCAGTATCTCTATTTGTTATAGGGTTTGTAAGCAAACAGCATGAATCCTGATCAGACTGCATGGATGCATGCTGGTCGCAAACGCACTATGTTGGTTTTGTCATGGCGCGGCTCATTTATACATCAGGGTATTGGACAGTTTCTTACAATTTATTGATAAATGATTGCACATCACCTTGAGTTTCATCTTATCATGAAATAAATAACACTGCTTAAAATGTTATAATATAATGTTGATATTTTAACAGCCTCATCTAAAGCATATTGTCTAAAGGGACATGCATATCAAGTGCATGTCTTTTATTACAAAGATAGCCATAAATTTATTGTATTTTATAGTAAATCCAGCAAGCATCTTATTGTAATATTACAGATTACAATTCACCAAGTTTTGCACGATTTTACTTAGAGTGAAGATATTTTTTATTCAAACATAATAAAGTTTTGTGTTTTTATGAAAAAAAAATATCAATGATTTAAATGTTGTGAATTATTATTTTTTGAAAAACAATCACTTAGCAGTTAAGGATATTGTTGCCTATCAACTTATTCTGGGGGAAGGGGGGACTTGAAAAATTCATCAAAATGTTTTTGTCATCTTTATACAATATAAGTGATTATCAGGCCCCAATGTTCACAAAGAAAAGATCAGGATTAGATGATCCTGATTTTATTTTCATTGTTTTATAAAACTAAAACTGATCTTATTATGCTAGAATTAAATGATATATATTCAAAATATAAATATTGCTTATTTGCAAAATTGGGATAAAATCAATAAATAACGAAACAAATACAAAAATAATCGAATTAAAATGAGGATCAATTTTAGGATCAAATTTTGGATCAACTGTAAAATGCCCATATCTTGTAAAAATAACAATAAATTTATTCTAAAATTTCATAAACATGCTATTTCAAGTCAAGTTTTATCAAGTTAATACTGAATATTTAATCTATGAGGATAAATAATGGAGAATATTTGTGTTTTTAAATTGGATCCTGATCTTGATCCTAATCCTTAAATCTTTGTGAACACGGGGGCCAGATGTTCATTGTTACTAATGGTAAGGTAAGGTCAGTGTTTGCTGTTTGATTCATATATAAAAATGCTGTCATGTGCTATTCTAAATGGAGCAAATTATAACTTAATTAATAAAGCCAAGTGAATATAAGGCATAATTATTACAAGTTAAACAATTATTTAAATTAATACATACTTGCAAATATAAGATTGCAAAATAAAAACTATACACTGTATTTTGAAACGTTAACATTTTCATCCATGTCAGCTTGAATTGTATCATTCTTGAAACCATATTATATAACAACATAAGTATTTCCATTTCATTTAATTTTTAGTGTTGTACATTCTCATTTATCTGTTGTTAATGTACGTTCCATAATAAATGTATTTTTGTTGATTTTTGTGGAAACTAGTCGTAACTACTATAGCCACCAAATTGTTTCAGTCTTGTGTTTTAATGTTGTTTATTAAAAGAAATATAATTTGTTTAAAGTGAAACATATGTATAAATGAAAACAAATGTATGTATATTTTAGTATGTTTATATCATTGGTATTAATAGTTTTTAGGGCGATTGAAAGTAACTGCTGTTTAATTTTTGCGTTTAAAGTGAGTTGGCGGGTACAACTTTTTTGTTGTTGTATTATGTTCAAATATTATTCCCATTATTTCCATGTTAAGAAATAAGACTATATTCTAATATTAACACTACAGGGCAATATTGTGCATTATTACATGCACAATGTAAAAAGGGAAAGTTTACATGTAATATAATGTAACATGTAGCGTCAGTGAACCAAATGATGTCAGGAAAATTTCTTCTTCTCTCAGTTTCAACATAAATTTATCAATTATCTTTTAATAAGCATGATTTTTGCTGTTAATTTAGATCTTGATAAATATACAGAATAGAAAAATGATGCAGTTTAATGAAGCAAAACATTATAAATGGCTGTATTTGTTAAAAAATTTAAATTAGTTGTTTTATGTTGAATGTTAAATAGCTGGTGAAAAATATTAACATAGGAATCAAGTATCGATATACACTGCCTTTTGTTATATAGTAATTTCATGTTAAAAAAATTGTGTGATAGCTTTTGAGTCTAACATGTTTTAAAATGTTAAATGTATTTGTTGTTAATTGAAGTTTATATGTACAGTTTATTTATATATATGAAAAAAGTATTAGAATAATTGTATATAAAGGACATATCTGTCAAAGATTGTATAGGTCAAATGTGACTGACACCAGAAGATAAATGATATTAGCACAAATGCTAATTGAGGACTGCCCCCATATATAACATAATTCAATGTTTATTATAATATAAACACTGACTGTTGAACCATACATAAAATATACAACATCACAATTATAATTATAACTTACATACAAAATACTGTTATATTGGCATGTCATGTGACAGGGAAAAAATTAGCTGTTGATAAATTGATAAGACAGGTGTAGAAAAGATAAATATATTGTGTAAAAAAGATGTTTCAGATTGATTCCTTTTTTGGATCTAATATATAGAAAAATAGGATTCTGGGAAATTCAGAAAATAAATAATGTTCAGTTTTTGTACATTTATTTTTGTTAGTTCTTTCAATATATTACAAGCATCTTAAGTTACTGTCTGAAGATATGTGTACAACTTTAAAAGTTCTAACAGAAATAAAGATTATCTTTTTCTTGCATTTCCTAGAAACCTATTTTTTTACATAATATATAATATGATTATAACAGTGAGTTGTCACTGGTTGGATTTGCTGGTACAATACTTACTAACTGAAGTACTGATAATTAGCCACCATATTCATTCACTTTATATGTATATGATACTAACAAATTATTGAAAATTGCAGTAAATTTTGATTATAGTAATAATTTATTATTTCTTACACCAATACTTCAAAAAACCTTACAAACTTTATTTCGTATTACAATAGAAATACATTCATGTAGAAATGATAATTCTGATATGAGGACCAAATATTGTTATGTCAATTGTTCAAACAATGCAATTTATTATTATCATGTTTTGTTTATCTAAACCTGTGTAAAATATTGTATATTGTTGTAAATTATGTTGGTGATATCTTGTAATGCTACATCATATTTCACTGCCATATACTTACCAGGATAATTTGCTTTCTAACAACAACTTCCCATGATAATTTACTTTCTAACAACAACTTCCCATTATAACTTACTTTATAACGAGTTCCTATGATAATTTACTTCCTTACAAAAACTTCCTTTGATAATTTATTCTCTAACAACAACAACTTCCTATGATAATTTATTCTCCAACAACAACAACCAATGATAGTTTACTCTCTAACAAAAACTTCCCATAATAATTTACCCTCTAACAGCAACTTCCGGTGATAATTTCCTCGCTAACAGCAACAACTTCCCAAAACAATTTACATACTAACAACAACTTGCAATGATAATTTTCTCTGTTACAACAACTTCCCATGTTTCTTTTGTTTTGCTTTGAAAATTGCAAATTAATTATGCTATTTTAACCCTTTGCCTGCTGAATTTAATTAGCATTTATCCAGCTTCCTTTTCTGTAACTGTCTTTCATCTACAGAGGGAGGAAAAAATTAAATAAAATTTATGCTAGTCCTTGTCTGGTTCTATACTGGTGGCAAAGAATAGTTTGTTTTGGTTCCATCAGGTAAATACAAAAATACGAATGCAATGTAACCCTGAACTTGCTAAAACAGAAAGTGATTAACCTCTGCCACCAGTTTAAAGCCATGCAAAGCTACACACAGCTTGTACATTTTGATTTGAGTTGTATACTGTTAAAAGTTCAACTTTTTATATTATGATATTGAAATCCCTTAATTTTCAAATGGGCTGTTCCAAATTCAAGTAATTTTCAAATGGGCTGTTCCAAATTCAAGTAATTTTCAAATGGACTGTTCCAAATTCAAGTATTTTTCAAATGGGCTGTTCCAAATTCAAGTAATTTTCAAATGGGCTGTTCCAAATTCAAGTAATTTTCAAATGGGCTGTTCCAAATTCAAGTAATTTTCAAATGAACTACAAATTCAAGTAATTTTCAAAAGGAATGTTCTTAATTCAATTTTCAAATGGGCTGTTACAAATTCAAGTAATTTTCAAATGGGCTGTTCCAAATTCAAGTAATTTTCAAATGAACTGCTACAAATTGAAGTAATTTTCAAAAGGAATGTTCTTAATTCCATTTTCAAATGGGCTGTTCCAAATTCAAGTAATTTTCAAATGGACCTTTCCAAATTCAAGTAATTTTCAAATTGGCTGTTACAAATTCAAGTAATTTTCAAATGGGCTGTTACAAATTCAAGTAATTTTCAAATTGGCTGTTACAAATTCAAGTAATTTTCAAATGGGCTGTTCCAAATTCAAGTTATTTTCAAATGGGCTGTTACAAATTCAAGTAATTTTCAAATTGGCTTTTCCAAATTCAAGTAATTTTCAAATGGGCTGTTCCAAATTCATATAATTTTCAAATGGGCTGTTCCAAATTCAAGTAATTTTCAAATGGGCTGTTCAAAATTCAAGTAATTTTCAAATGGGCTGTTTCCAAAATTCAAGTAATTTTTCAAATGGGCCTGTTCCAAATTGTAGTATTTTTTCAAATGGGCTGTTCCAAATTCAAAGTAAGTTCCAAATGGGCCTTGTTCCAAAATTCAAGTAATTTTCAAATTGGCTGTTACAAATTCAAGTATTTTTCAAATGGGCTGTTACAAATTCAAGTAATTTTCAAATTGGCTGTTACAAATTCAAGTAATTTTCAAATGGGCTGTTCCAAATTCAAGTATTTTTCAAATGGGCTGTTCCAAATTCAAGTAATTTTCAAATGGGCGTTCCAAATTCAAGTATTTTTCAAATGGGCTGTTCCAAATTCAAGTAATTTTCAAATGGGCTGTTCCAAATTGTAGTATTTTTCAAATGGGCTGTTCCAAATTCAAGTAAGCCTCCAAATGGGCTGTTCCAAATTCAAGTAATTTTCAAATTGGCTGTTACAAATTCAAGTATTTTTCAAATGGGCTGTTACAAATTCAAGTAATTTTCAAATTGGCTTTTTTCCAAATTCAAGTAATTTTCAAATGGGCTGTTCCAAATTCAAGTAATTTTCAAATGGCTGTTCCAAATTGTAGTATTTTTTCGAATGGGCTGTTCCAAATTCAAGTAAGTTTCCAAATGGGCCTGTTCCAAATTCAAGTAATTTTCAAATTGGCTGTTA